AAGTTCAGTTCAGTTCAGTTCAGTTTAGCTCAGTTCAGTGTGATTTAATCATTACTGAGAGTTCAAACACTGAAGAGCAAATTCATCGATGCGTAGCTCTACCAATCCTGAACAATGCGAGGCAGTGGCGACAGCGGAGAGGGAAAAAAAAACTTCACCTGATGGGAGTGAAGAAAAAAAAACCTTGAGGGAACCAGACTCAGTTGGGCACGACCATTTTAATTTCTCCGCTGGCCAACAGTCTTGTGCAGAGCTTCATTCGCCGTGGTTAAGGCTGGAAGATGGCCTCAGCGAAGACTCGTCTGTCCCTGGGACGTCGCTGGAATCAGACTAATGTTCTCCACTCCCCACGACCATCAGCGCAATAGCAGCTCAGGATATGGCCTGGTCCCGGATATGGAATCCTTGGGATCATCACGTCGCTGGTCTTGGATCCAATCAGTGACTCCGCATAATCTGAGGACCTCGGGATGAGTATCCCCAGGTGAAAATAGAGAATAAAGAGAATAATTAGCGTAGCTGCTGTTCATAGTGTATATAAGCAAGATGTAGAAGCCAGTGTGGAACCCGCTAGGTGATGCATTGAGTGTATGCTTTACTAAACAGATAGGTCTTTAATCTAGTTTTGAACTGGGAGAGTGTGTCTGAGCCTCGGACGTTATCAGGAAGGCTATTCCAGAGTGTAGGAGCCATGAAAGAGAAGGCTCGACCTCCTTTACTTGATTTTGCTAATCTAGGTACTACTAGAAGCCCTGAATTTTGAGATCTTAAAGAGCGAGTTGGTTTGTAGCGAGACAGAAGGTTGGTTAGATAAACAGGATCTAGATTATTTAGAGCTTTATAGGTGAGAAGTAATATTTTAAATTCAATACGAAACTGTTAAGGCAGCCAGTGTAAGGAGGATAAAATTGGGGTGATATGATCATATTTTCTAGACCTGGTCAGAACTCTGGCTGCTGCATTTTTGTTGCATGCAGAACTGTTGCAAACAATTTATCTGTGTTGAATTTAAACAAACAAATTAAGTTTAATATTGATCAACTTAATTTGTTTGTTTAAAATCAACACAAATAAATTGTTTACAACCACTTAACGTAAACAAAATTGAATCATTTCTGAATATTTTTTTTTCAGTGTACAAAATATTTAAGATAAAAACTAATTTGTATGAGTACTGTGAACTTACTCCATTTAAGCTGAAGTAATAAGGTATTTAATTAACTCATTACCTTCAACACTGAGTTCAAAACTCTTTCCAAATGAGTAGAATTAACTTTGAGTCATTTTTGAGTTAACTACAAACAATTCATTTGATAAAGTTGACTGTTGGGTTTTACAGTGTATGAATAAGTACTATATATTTTTTTTCTTCAAAAAGATATACTGTAAGTAACTAAATAATAAGCACTAGCTAATGAATAAGTTTTGGTACTTACTGAAGAAATATGCAAGTATCTATAAACAGGTAATAGTAGCATGAAATTGAAGGGCTTATAGAACGTTAAAACAGCTTGCCATATTAACTCCACTTGACAAGAATAGCACTGGCACCTAAACTTACACATTCAAATACATCTACTGATATAAATGCCCAAATTTATTGGAGAAACAGAGGCACGCGCACACATCTAAATTGTTATAAATGAATCCTAAACATTATTACAATAAATTACATATATTGTTTATTATTGTTGTATTCGTATTATTATTATTGTTATTATTATTATTATTTCATCACTAATTTGTTTTCACTCACGATCCTTCAGCTTAGTCCCTGATTTATCATGGGTTGCCACAGCGGAATGAACTGCCAATTACTGGCATATGTTTTTATACTGCATATTACTTTCATATACGGCGTCTGAGAGAGCTTAACATGCAGCAATTTAAGAAAGCACATGCAATTACAAAAAACACCAACAAACAAAGAAACGATCTTCATCAATTTGGTAGTACACGTGTTGCAAATTGGTCACAACACAAACAACTGAAGACACATGCGGAAAATCGGTCACAACACTAGCAAATGTCCACGTAATACAACGCAATTGTTTCAAGGGGACACAAAAACATGACGGACCCTGCTGAGATATGGATGTGTTGTGTCGTGTAATCAGGATATTAAAATAAATGAAAAACAACTCATTTTTCAAAGACCACCAATCACTTCACTGAGCAACAGTCACGGCATAATAACATACCGTGTAAAATAATGCACTGGCCATCGTAGCCAAGAGAGCTTAACATGCTGAAATTTAAGAAAACACATGCAAAAACAAAAATGCCAACAAATTAAGAAAAGATCTTCATCCGTTTGATAGCACACGTGCTGCAATCCATGCAATGCATACAACATCAAAAAAACGCACTGCATTTTCACACAACACAAACAAATTAATAAACACTGCATTTTCTCACAATGTAAACGAATTACGAACACGCTGCAAAAACAACGGAACACAACGGAAATGTGTCAAGGAGACGCAAAAACATAACGGATGCTGCTGTGGTGTGACTATTGCTCAGTGAAGTTGTAGGTGATCTTTGAAAGGTGAGTGTTTGTTTGTTTGTTTGTTTGTTTGTTTGTTTGTTTGTTTTAACATCCTGATTCTCTTGTCTTTTGTATTTTATTAGCCTAAATATCCATAACCTAAATAGCCGAGCCCCTTATGTTTTAGGGTCTACTTAAAAAATTTCCGGTGTGTTCCATGCTATTTGAAAGTGTTGGGAGAAAATGCAGCACGTTTTTGTAAATTGTTTGCGTTGTGTAAAAATGCAGCACGTTTTTTTTAAATGTATTTGCGTTGTGAGGATTTGCAGGACGTGTACTGTCAAACGAATGAAGATCTTTTTTCAATTTGCCTAAATTTTTTCAAATTTCAGCACGTTAAGCTCACTCAGCCACTGTAATTAAAATGAATTGAATTGAGAGAGAGAGAGAGAGAGAGAGAGAGACATACGCTTGTTATTAAAAACAAAACATTTGTTGTTTATTTTCTGATGATAACATTTTATTTAAATATAATTATCATCTTATTCTCAGTTTTACAATCATTATAATATAGACTAAACACATGCTGGAGGAAATGTCAGAAATATGACAACACAAGGCAGTCATAAGTGTGAATGAGAATCAAAAAAATTTAAAATAAAAAAGTAATGAACCTCTTTCTCAGCAACTACAGCCATACTGTCTTTTTCCCGCTCCTCAAACAGTCATACAAGTAAGACTAACTCACTCATTCACTCAGACAACATTGTCCTACTTCATTCTGTTTACAATCATTCATTAAATTCACAGTCTTCAATACGGGATTCACCTCTTTCTGTCATTCTGACACAAAAACAAATCACCGTCTAAAAGAGACGTTGGTCAAGTTGGATGATTCTGATATAGGGTGACCAGAATCCTTGAAGTGGAATATTGGAATATTTGATCTAGATTAGATTTTGTCCTTCTAAGTAATGCATTTTTTATATTAAATGTCCTTCCTGAGGAAAATATAATGTGTCACAAAACAAATACTTTAAAAACTGTTTAACTGACATCGTTCCATGGTTTAAACACCAGCCCCATATCACAAGGAAACGTAACTATTTGAAGTATTGGCAGAAAAGTGTCTAGAAAAGTGTCTAATTCGAACAAATTCCTATGTTTTTATTTGTATGAATAAGTTCGTACAAATGAATACAGCTACTAAATCAAGAAGTTACGAGTTGCCGTAAGATAGTATTGGAAACACTGATTTCAGGAAGTTGTACTGTACTGTATCACAGAGTATTTTCACATGAACGCCATTAATCTAATTATTTACCTCGTTCTGAACAAGACATTATTATGATTAGGGTTGAGTTGCTTTAAGAGAATTCCTTTCGTGTGCTTGTTTCAAATGTTTTGTACATACATTGATAATTAACAGATGCTGTTAAAAACATCCCCACGTGACATTATTTAACGCTTCCTCCAGAATTTCACATATTTACATACACTTCATCTTTGCTATGGTACCATATGCATTTTTGACTGTTCTATTTTTCATTTTCCGAAAGCAATCAAGCGCAGTTAATTATTTGTTATGCAATGTGTGTAAACCGATGATGGTGGATACAAGTTCTTGGGCTGTTGTCCAAAAATGGCACACTACTCGTTGAGATACTACATTTGAATTTGAATTTACTTCACAACCGCTCAAAAAGTATGTTCTATATAATAAGAATATTAACAGTATGAATCGGATTCAGAAGTATTACATTGCCGATTTTATCAGCTGATATGAGCCTATCGCCGAGGTGTCCATATTGGCGAATTTGCCACCGATCTGTCACCGGTATGATTGTTTTTAAAAAACGTATTTCACAGAACAAGGCGAGGCAGTGGTGCAGTACGTAGTGCTGTCGCCTCACAGCAAGAAGGTCGCTGGGTTGAACCTCGGCTCAGTTGGCGTTTCTGTGTGGAGTTTGCATGTTCTCCCTGACTTAAAAAAGCAGATTTTAATTTAACAGCTGATTATGTGACACTGATCGTACGTGACAAAGGATTAACTTTGACATGACTGGCTTCTCTTACTTAAGAATTTTAGCATGACATAATACTAAAACTAGCACTCAGAAATGAAGAATGTGTTTAGAGAAGTGAAATACTGAACATTTGTCATTATAAGTAGAGACACTAAAAAAATTAAATACGACAGGATGTCTGGTCACCCTATGTACTGGTAAAACAGGTTGGCTCAGACCGCATTTGTTCTCAATACATCCAACAACATTTAAAGTGATCAGACAGTCGTGACTCTTGATAATGAGTTAAACTAAGCAAGTAATACTAGCTGCAAGCATTTATCTTCATCACTTTGTGCTTGTCATTATAATAGCTCTCTCCAGCGATCCCTGGATGATGAAATTCCCTGCTTTTGTGGAATGTGCTTGTATATTATTGTACCTGGATGTGATTCACAACAGCACCAAATACGCAGAGAAAAATATACAAAGATTTTTTTTTAATATATATATTACAAGATGTACCATCCTTCTTTACTGGTCAGCAAATATCAATGCATATTAGTGGTTTAGAGACGGTATTTAGGGTGGAAGGGCTGATGACAGTCAGTTTGGAAGTCTACTGTTTGACGTGGAGTGAAACGTGTTTAGAAAAAGATGCCGCTCACATACAGGTGGATCCCTCAGGCAAACACTGCAGCTGCTTCTCAATGATACACCGCAGACACTTGTATCTATATAGGAAAAGAGAGAAATTAATCATTCTCTCTTTATGTGTTGTCAAAAAATAGGTCGCACTTTACAATAAGGTTTCATTAGTTAATGTGTTTACTAAAATTAATAATGAACAATATTAGAACTGCATTTATTAATCATAGTTCAACAACATTTACTAATGCGTTATTAAAATCCAAAGCTGTGCTTTTTAATGAGAACTAACGACTGACTTTATTTTCAGAAACTCATGTTTACAAAGTATACATACATAATAAATGTATTGTTCTTTGTTTGTTCTTGTGAGTAAATGAATTGTCAATAAACATTTAAACATATAAACATATTTAACATATAAATATACATAATATTAATAAAACATTACTGTGAAGTTTTACCAAAACTTTTTGTGATTATAAAATTAAATTTTAAAAAATAAAATAAGAAATATATTATACATTGTTACGTTCTTGTACACTGCTGCCTGACAAAAATCTTGTTGTCGATTCTAGTTGTAAGAGCAACAAATAATAACTTGACTTCTAGTTGATCATTTGGAAAAAAGTGGCAGAAGGTGGATTTTTCTGATGAACCATCTGCTGAACCGCATCCCAATCATCACAAATACTGCTGTAGACCTATTGGAACCCGCATTGACCCAAGATTTTCACAGAAATAAGTCAAGTTTGGTGAAGGAAAAATCATGGTTTGGGTTTACATTCAGTATGGGGGCGTGTAAGCGATCTGCCAAGTGGATGACAACAGCAACAGTCTGAGGTGTCAAGACATTTGTGCTGCCCATTACATTATAAACCACAGGAGAGGGCAAATTCTTCAGCAGGATAGCGCTCCTTCTCATACTTCAGCCTCTACATCAACGTTACTGAAAGCATAGAAGATTAAGGTGCTCTAGGATTGGCCAGCCCAGTCACCAGAGATGAATATTATGGAGCATGTCTGGGGTAGGATGAGGGAGGAGGCATCGAAGATGAATCCAAGGAATCTTGATGAACTCTGCAAGAACGCTTTCTTTGCTATTCCAGATGACTTTATTAATAAGTTATTTGAGTCATTGCAGAGTTGTATGAATGCAGTCCTACAAGCTCATGGGAGTCATACACAATATTATTTTTTCACTGCAGCATGACTTTATATCTATACTGTACATTATTTCTGTTAAGTGACAAGACTTTTGTCTAAGCAAAGTCAGACCTTACTGTCCTTATTAAATAATTCAAAATCAAGACATGACCATTTTTTATTTTGGTAAAATAAGCCTTATCTAGAGGCCTTTGCCTTTCATTTATGCCACTTCTGATACCAAATGATCAACTAAAACTATTTGTTGTTCCTAAAACTTGGATAGGCAACAAGACTTTTGTCAGGTAGTGTATGACATTTAGCAGTGGGTTGTATTTTTCTCTCTCTTTTACTGCTGCTTTGTCTAACTTACATTGGCTATCAATCATTGGAGAATCAGACTGAGCCGAGATTATGTAAACAGGATGAGCTCCAATCCTTCCGCCTCCATCCCTTTATGTTTCGTTCTGTCATTTTGTCATTTGATTAATATTTTTTCTGCCAGGTAAATGGTCTTATTGGAGTATAAAATCTATATCTGCGATTAAGAATTATACTAGACGGATGAGGGCGTTAGGTCAGATAGTAGATTGAGTTTCATATACATAATATTTAAATAAAAATTTAAAGGTCTTGAAATGAATGAAACCATAAAGAGAAATCTCTAAATTTCAATTAATAAAGAAGTTTGAAATCAAGTGGCCTTGTCAGAATTATAGTATAAATAACATAATCAGTCTATATCAGTGAGCATTCGATGACAAAAACTTTGACAACCTCTGATAGAGAGGTATACATCTGTGTATTTTAGATTTTCTAAAGCACACTACTGTGTCAATGTCACTGACATTAAAGGGATAGTTCACCTTAAAGTGAAAATTCTGTCATCAATTTCTAACCCTTTAACTTTCTTCTGTTGATCACAAAAGAAGATACCTGTAACCATTGACTTCCACAGTATTTGTTTTTCCTACAATGAAAATCAGTGGTTGAAAGATTTCAAAATATCCTATTTTGTTTTTTTTAACAGAAGGAACTCATGAAGTTTGAAAACCACTTGAGAGAGACGGGAGAGTAAACAGTGAGTCAATTTTCATTGTTTTTTGTGTACTATCGCTTTAAGCGTTTCCGTTGTAATTATACATTTGCCCAGCAGATGTCTCCAGCATGTGCTGCTCTCATTATGCTCAGCAATCAGTTTCAGATTTAACAGTTTCAGACGCAATAATTTCTCTCATCTACACATGTTTAAATAAAAATAGTAATTAAATCTTACCTGCTTTTCAGCTTTTGCACCTCTCTGTCTTCCTCTTCCTTTAGTTTAGTAATAAAACTCTGCAGGACGGGCATCTCAAATTTGATGTATTGTGCCACCTAGAGCAATGGGGAGCAACTGCAGTGAGTTTTGTCAACTTCCTCAAAGACAGCTTCAATGTCAATTCTGCTACATTTAAAGACATACAAATAATTGAAATTATGTTACTCTCAGACTTTGCGTGCATACAGATACCAAAAACACTAGAAGAAGAATGCAAATTATGTGTATGTGTATGCTCAAAGACTACACTTAAAGGGATTTTGATATGCTAAAGGAGTATTAGCTATGTTAAATCTTGCACACTAGCTACTTGTCTTTGCATCTACATGTTTGTTATTGTATTTTGCACTGTATGAAGTTTATGTTTCCTGTATATGTTCTTAAAATGGATGGATGTCACTAAGCTTTTCACATGTGGCAATGAAAGTGATTGGATTTAATTCAAATACACAAATAAATACAAATGATTTGAGTCAAATTTAAGAGAAACACATGTAAAATATTAGAAAAAAACATACACAAACACAACTTATATACAAATAAGTGCAGATAGCAGGTAAAGTACAAATAGGTGAGGAGTGCAGTGCAATGAGACTTTCAATTCAAGTTTATTTTTATAGCACTCAACATCAGAAAAGTTAGATTTATTGGTTACCATATCTTTACTAATAACTTAAACTAATTAACTAATTACTAGTAACTTAAACAGTAAAGTTATTATATATAAACATGATTAACCTGCAGTTACATAGTATATAGGTGATGTCTATATGTGTAGATGTTCACTGAAGTCTATTTGTGCATTAAGTGTATTTTGTTTGTGTGTGTGTGTGTGTGTGTGTGTGTGTGTGTGTGTGTGTGTGTGTGTGTGTGACTGTGACAATGAGACATTTGTATATGAATGCTATACTTTTGAGTTTGTCAGCAGATCAGCTCTCCTTCACACACACACACTCACTTCATAAGGAATCTCCTCTCCTAGATCCTGCTCCATGAGGAAGATCCGGCAGACGTGTTCACATGGTCCCTGAAGGATTCGCACTACTAATGGATAATCGGTGCGCTTCAGCTGAACACGCTCTGAAACATACAATACATTTCCTACATTTACAACTAGACCTATTCAATGGCTGAAGAGAATGGTTGTCATTTGCTACATTTATAAATGCATACATGCACCCAAATAACCCGTTTGTAATTGGATCGGCAGTTTCTTCATTTATTCAATTCATTTAATTCATCCAATTCACCAATAGTGCATGCCTTTGGAATGTGGGGGAAACTGGTACATAAACCCATATGAACACAGGGAGAACATGCAAACTCCACACAGATATGCCAATAAGCCCAGCCAGGACTCGAGCCAGCGACCTTCTTGCTATGAGGCGACAGTGCTAACCCCTGAGCCACCGTACCACTATAAATGGTTTAATTAGATTCGAAAACAGTGATGTGAACATCTCCCTCGATTATATTGATCTCGATCAGAATTCAATTTCAATTAGATTGGAAGGGGTGGACTTAATCTGGGTGATCTAATCTAATCCACAACCAAGTAATGAGCTTGTAAATGCTTGAACACAACAACTTTCTCAGTCATATTCAGAAGACTCTGGGGAACATGCGCGGTGCAATGTTGACATGCATTAGCCTGTGCATATTTTAATGAATGAATGATAAAATATGTTAAACAATTTTTGTATATTTTCGTCAGGCTGCCTAACAATTTTTTTTTTTTAAATGCACGGTAACCTAAATAGAAGTTAAAATTAGTTCTTCACATAATATAACTTAAATAAAATAAGAAATTACAGTTAAGAAATTAAACAAAGAAAACCTGAAAATAAATAATGAAATAACGCTAAAAGTGACAACAGACACCATGAGAAAAAATTAAGATAAATAAATAAATATGTACATACACATACGCATACACAACATACACACGCATGTATCAGACTTTCGTTCACTTAAAGGTGCAGTAGGTGATTGTCTTCAGAAACATTTGTTGTTGTGCTGGTTGAAAGTCTCTTCACAGTCCAATAGTAATGATTAAAGTAAATGATCCAAATGTATTTATATGTATTTTAATATTTAGAGTAAGTAAAAAATGTTCATCCAATTAAATAAAGTCGGGCCGACATCTCTCATAATTCCGATAAGTAGTCTTTCAGCAAATGCAGATTTGAACAACTGCGCAGCCTTTTGTACGCAGCTCCCCCGACCGCTGTTTGTGCATTGACGTGCTGCGCGTTCACGAGAGAGAGAGAACGCGTGGGCGCATGCCCTATCGGCAAAAACATGTTGAATCAATAACTTTTAAAAACCTGAATCAATATTGGAGTTACCTTTGCACGCTGGACAAAGGTATTAGCATGAAGCTAAAAAACTATTTTAGCTTCATGCAAAGCTGATGTAACGTTAGATGTTGTTGTTATAAATGAGCTATACATCTTCACAGAAGTGTTGTTCAGCCACTAAAATCTTCAGGTGAAATATTGATAAGACTATTTTCAGTTTCATAAGGGACCTTTCACAGCATCGATAAAGTAGATTTTAATTAGTTTAACAACAAAACACAAGTAAATACCGCTATTTTGCCTAGTCTTTCCCTATATTTTTTGCCATGCAACTCTAAATATTCGCTCTGAAATAGCATGTCAGTTTGGCTTAGTAATGAGTGTAATTCCTGTACGCCGCCAAACAAGCACTAGTCTCTTTTAACACACAAAAGAAGGTTCTTTTGCTGTCATCTTTAAGGTGCGCGTGCACCTTTAACTAAATTTAACAAAAGGCAAATCAAGTCTCGTTCATTCATTCATTTTCGGCTTAGTCCCTTTATTAATCCGGGATCACCACAGTTGAATAAACCGCCAACTAACTCAGCATATTTTTTAAGCAGCAGATGCCCTTCCAGCTGCAACCCATTACTGGGAAACATCCATACACACTCACACATATACACTGCGGACAATTTTAGCTTACCCAATTCCCCTGTACCACATATCTTTGGACATATATAGGAAACCCATGCGAACACAGAGAGAACATGCAAACTCCACACAGAAATGCTAACTGGCCCAGCTGGGGCTCGAAACAGAGACCGTCTTGCCGTGAGGCGATTGTGCTACCCACTGAACCACTGTGCTGCCCAAATCAAGTAAATGTTACTTTGCATAAAGGAATGGACTTTCTAAATTAAAACTAGTTCAGTTACTAATTTAGTTAAGTAAAAAAAAATAAAATAAAACAATGCATTTTTAAATTTGCATTAAAGCTTATCTTTCTTAAACACAAAAGTTAATCGGAATGTATATAAAACACACATAAACAGATATTTGAATCAGATCACAATGTTTAGATTTAGTCAATGTAAACAGATGGAAGTGCAATCGGATTCAATTCATTTGGATTGACAAAAATTGGTGCATGTGAACACAGCCAATTACTTTAATGGTAATGTTTTTTGTTTGTTTGTTTTGAAAAATACTATGGAAGTTTCATTTTATAAAGGTTTGAAACCACTGCATGAGTAAATAGTGAGTGAATTTGGATTTTTTTTTTGTTGTTGTTGAACAGTCCCTATAATTACAACAATAGTGTCCACTAGATGGCGATTCAGTGTTTCACAGTCATTTAGAACTGAGGATTTCAACCTTTTCTGATACCCGGTATTCTAAAAGTTTGGACAGGGTGGTGGAATTTTTTTCCCTTTCCAAAACCTAAACCCAAAAGGAGAAATGCCAGCGTGGATCAAGCTGTGTGAGGGGCGCTATAAGAGTGGGGTTAAGTTGGTTTTGTTGTTTCTGATTTTCCTGACACATTCTCCCAGCCAGCAATGACATGTGGGGCCCAAATGGGTTAACTACGGGTTCCATGGGAACTGTGTGGGCATGGGCTTTAGCTGGGTGAAATCAGCAGGTCCCAAGTATGTTTTGTAGTATGAGTCCCACATAGGAAGCCCATATGAGCTGATTACATGGGCCACATAAGGGACAGGCATGGGCCAAGTGGGCATGGGTTTGATCTGGGAACACATATATGGGTCATGCATGGCATATTTATGGGCCAAGTGGGCATGGGTTAAACTGGGAATGCACATATGGGTCCTGCATGGCATATTTATGGGTCAAGTGGCATTGGGTTTGAACTGGGAATGCATATATGGGTCCTACCTGGCATATTTATGGGCAAAGTGGCATTGCTGCCCAGCCAGCAATGACATGTGGGGCCTAGATGAGGGCTTCATGGGCTGCAAATGTAGGCCCCATTATGGGTTTGCACCCGGGATTCACATTGGGGCCAGTCGTGGAAGCCCAGATGTACTAAAAGTGGGACCTGTAAGGGTACTGCATGGGTCCTAACTGGGCAATTCATGCCAAACCCATTTGGATCCCATCTGCCCAAATGGATTTAAAGTGGGTTTGCACCCGGGATCCACATGGGGGCCAGCCATGGATGCCCATATGGATTTAAAGTAGGATCTGTGAGAGTCTTATGTGGGTCTTAACCGGGCAATTCATGAAAGACCAATTTGGGCCCCACCTGCTTAAAGGGTTTAAAATGGGCTTGCACCCAGGATCCACATGGGGGCCAGCCATGGATTCTGTCACTGCCTGTCCCAGGTGGCTGGCTGCGTGGCGGGGTTGGCGGTTGCCATTCTCAGCCCGTTGGGGCCTGCCCTCCGCAGCTGTGGGGGGCTCTAGCGGGAGGCATCGTCTTCCACCATCTGGGTGGAAGCATGTCCATCTCTGTGGTGTGGTGGTAGGGGACATGTGCCCTGGGGTTGCTGCTGCTGGCCAGGGTACTGTGTTTCCTGGCCTTCCTCTGCCTTCCCGGGATACGTGTAGAGGTATTGAGTTACGACAGTCCTGTGTTTTATTTAATTTTTTTATAGCCGGTATGCATTGATTAGTCATCATTTAGTATTAGTGTTCCTATAAGTTCAGGTTAGATATAATGTGTTGATGGTTATCATTTCAACCCGTATGTCCTGGCGAGTGACGCTAAGGAGCGATTAGTGAGCAATACGTGAGCCACTGCATCGCCTCCTCATCGTTTCGTAATGCTATATTTTATTGCATAACAGTTAGTCTGTCAGGCAAAAAAAAGAGAAAACACGGTTTAATTGGTTATTATTAGAATATTTTTAAATTTCACCTCTCTTACTGCGCATGAACTAAGCTGTTGAATGGTCAGCATATCAGGCGGCTAGGCTAACCTTGCTTCAATTTTGATTACATTTTTTTCTAATCAGTTGCAGATTAAGTCGAGAATATACCACTGTAATGCATACTGCTGTTCTTTTAAGTCTGGCTTTCTCGCATATCTCACCTGTTTGTCAAAAATGACTAGTTATACCCCTGGGAATGTCTGACACTGGCGCATACATATTGTAATAGATGTGCTATACACAAAAGCTTGACAGGCATAACAACAGTAACTAAGGTGGACAGGGCTTAGCGAAGGTTCAATTTACTCAAGTACACGCCTCAATTTCTCACGTCCCCCTTAATAGGCATTGGAGCCCCACAGGTTGAAAACCCCTAATTTAGAAGAAAACAAAACAGTTAGAGACAAACCTCCACTGGCATGAACCAGGTACAGGGCAAAGTCATCAGGACTGTTCTCGATCTTGAACTTGTTGAGCAGCACCCGCAGCACCTGTGGCGTGGTCATACAGCTGTTGATCCGCACGTTTGTGACTGAACCGTATGCAGGAGTGAACACAGCAGTCTAAAAAGAGGAAGAAGAGACTGCATGAAGAAGGAAGTTATGCTCAAACCATCACACATGGAGAACCAGTTTGTCGTCCTGTCACCTTGTGGTTGTAGAAGTGACCGTTGATGGAGAATCGGTGGCGTCTGATTCTCCGCTGGTCACTAGGAGACCGTCTCCGGCCCCGCCTCAATACGCCTGCATCGCTTTTAGTTCTGAGAAGCTGAGCGGAGACATCACACACTTCTGTCAGAGAAAGAAAAAGGGAAATGAGGAGGGAAATGAGTCACAGAACATTTGCGTGTTTAAAATCAGTTTAGTATTTTTGTTTGGGGCTGAAGGACTGTTCTGATCTTTAAGAACAATTGAGTTTATATGCAAAAGTCTCTGAGCGCTGACTGAAATTTTATGTTAATTTTCCTCAGGTTTTAGATTGAATAGGTTGGTGTCATTGCCTTTACACCTAAATAACTAAACATAAACATAAGGATTATTATTTATTTATTTATTTATTTGACTACAACAATATTGTATCTGATTAGCAACATTGTATTAATAAGGGAATGTCAACTGAACTGTAAAAGTTTGACATTTTTAATGAAGTGAATTTACTCATTTTTATACATTTACAAATGTTGATGTTCATTTGTATTGGATTGCATTGCTTAATGAATCGTTCTGACTTCTTTTAAACAATTTATATCATTTAAAAAAATCTCTTTTAATTTCTAGCTCATTATGGCTCAAAAGCAGTTCACATTTATGAAACAAACTATTTTTTTTAACAAATAAGCAAAAGTTTTTTTTTTAAATACTTTTTTGAAAAGTTTTCAAACAATAAGTCAGGTTATTTGATTTGAAGAGCTCATCTTTCAGACTTTAAAAAGGGTGATAACATTTTCATGCTGTTCAGTGATGCGTTTCCCAATCAACGATATAACTCGTGGATGAACTATCACAGTATGATGCATCATTTGGGAAAAGAAAGATTTAGTGACGAGTGTTTCCCAAAACCGTAGCTGCTTTGTCGCAGATCCATCCATTGTTTGAACCACATTAGTTATAACGTAAAACGTCCATAAGACGCTCTAAACCAGGGGTCACCAATCTCGGTCCTGGAGGGCCGGTGTCCCTGCAGGGTTTTGCTCCAACTTGCCTCAACACACCAGCTTGTATGTTTCAAGTATACCAAGTAAGACCTTGATTAGCTTGTTCCGGTGTGTTTAATAAGGGTTGGAGCAAAAATCTGCTGGACACCGGCCCTCCAGGAACAAGTTTGGTGACCACTGCTCTGAACGATGCAGAGTTACAACTTCTTTAGAGAAGAATCCCATAATTTTTTGTGCAAGTTATATTGTTTTACACGCACACACAATTTCCGTTTTCTGCACTCGTTTTCCAAATTAATTGAAATATATGTAAACGGCACATATACATATACATATAAGACCAATGTTTCCTTTACAAATATTACATATTCTATTCTATAACAAAAAACCACATAGCTAACATATTCTAATATCATATGGAAACTCATATATAAATCATATAAATCATATAAATCGTTAGGCTGATGGTTGCAAAATAGTAGGCCAGTTATTAATAAATGAAAAAAATACTACTTATTAATAATAGTTATTATTTTCATTAATTTATTATTATTGTTATTGGTATTAATATTAGAAGTACTATTATTATTATTATTATTATTATTATTATTATTATTATTAAGTAGGAGATTGTTTTTTTTTATTTTTTAAATTCTACTTTTACAAGTTGACACATTCAAACCACTGCAGAAATGTTCTAACCAACAGGCCCATGTATCCATGTATCCTAAACAGTACAGATACATACCTTAATAAATAACCTACTATAAATTAAAAGCATTAGGCTAACCTATTCTATATATTTTCGTTTTTTACAAGCTTTGGAGACGTAACATAAATTCCGCTTTTAAATATTAGGTCACTTATAGCTTTCATCATGAGCCATGGCAGCGTTCAACATGGCATAAATGATTTGAAAATGCACTACAAAGGGGATCGCAAAAACTGAACTGTAAAAATAATTTGAGAGCGATGACTTTAATGACTTTTTTTTAATCATTCTAAGTTTGAATGGGGAACGTTCAAAATGAATAGGGGATAGGGGTCAAAACTGGGAACAGAACACAACTAGGAACTATGCTTCTAACTACAGCAAATGTTCGTTGGAACAATAGATTAGGGAAGCACCAAATGAACAAACTATGTTTGTAACGACAGAACTTGCGACCTTAGTTGGCTAACGATGGTTTTCAGAAACGCACCCCTGGTTATCTATACATATAGATTCCACAAAAGTTAGTACTAAACATGTGTGAGACATGATGAAAGGCTAAATATATTTGACACTTGATGAACTAATAACTCTAATAATTATACAGAAATATATTTTAACACCTAATGTTGCGGCATACATTCCTGGGTCAATGACATAAACAAGAAATGTTCTAAACTGTAAAAAAAAAAAAAATAAATGGTTACATTTCTTTAAAGTAATTTTAAAGAAGATTAATGATACAATCAAATCCAGCACATGATATGATCCGATACATATGATATGATATATGATACGATACATGATATGAATAAAGGGCTATTTAGGATGTAGTAATTAGGAGCTATAATATTGTAATAATGTTTTATTTAATTATTATAATTATTAAAATAATAATAATAATTATTATTATTATTATTATTATTATTATTATTAAACCTCTGTAAAAGTGAAGCTGTACCTTCATCTTCTTCCTCATGGTCTTGTGTTGTGCCATTGTTTGTTTGTTCTTCTGGAGGCGTCACTTCCATCTGAGGTGGAGTTTGTGGAGTCTGTTTCTGAGCCTCCTGACTGGAGAACATGACAGGAGGAAAACAGCCCCGTCATGTTATTCAGTGACAGACACAATCCACAGCCCAGCAAAACTTTCAAGACGATTTGCCAAAAACATGATATTCCTCTAAAAATGCCCCTTGCTTTAATCTAGCTCTCAACAACCTGTAAGAATTCCTGTTGCTTACATTGATGCTTTTTAAAGAAATGTTTTGTGCCCTTAAAGGCTGCGTTTATTTGATTAAAAATACAATGATATTTTTAAAATAATACTCAAATGAGTCGCCAGTGCCTGTGAGATATTTGGCATGCTAAATATCTGGAGCTGTCGGCGATTCAAATAATGCTGTGTGAATTGAGTTTTGACTGAAAATAACATCATTGATCGCCTACAGCCAATGAGAGAGCAGCTTTCACTTGTGTGTGCGTGTGTGTATACCTGCTGCAGGCCTGCGGGAGGCAGGGGGAGAAGTTAACAGCGCTCTTTTTCGGTTTATTTGGACCCACGAAATGGAGGAAAAACTAGTGGGGGTTTGACAGGACTCAGGAGCAACCGTGTCTGTTTGACGTTTCATACAGAAAGAAATTAGTTTATTATCAACGTTGAGGAGAAATGGCTAATTCCCTTTAAACCCAGGTGAGCAAACATGTACATGTTCTACCCCATTAAAGGCTTCTTTCTCATTATTTAGTTAATAACAAAAGATATACTACATGTTTTTGGCTGTGAGATAGTAAAGTCATGCAATGTGAATGTCCATGTCGCCGAACCATCTTGCAGTGTAAACAAAGCAGCGACGAAACGCTAGCCCAGATAGTCATGCAGTGTGAAAACATCTGTGACACGACTAGTTTGAAAATCATGCAGTCTGAACTCGGCATTACGGAATAAATATATTTATATTTTTAAAAATACATATCTAATACAAATTTAAATAATCATTTTCTATTTGAATACATTTTAAACAGATGATTTATTCCTCTAATGACAGCCTTTAGTGTCACATGATCTTCAGAGTCCTAATTTACTGCTTAAAAATATTTATTTATATAATATTTATGAATATTTTATAAACACTAAAAATCACTGCTTAATACTTTAGTGGAAAAAAAATAATATAATACACATTTTTAGTGATTATTTTATAAATAAATAGCTTTTATAATATATTTAAAAAACAAAATTATAAACGCCATTACTGACTATTTTAATCAATTTAATGCATTTTTATGGACTAAATGTATTTATTTCTATAAAAAAAATAATAATAATTTGAATGGTAGTGTATAGCAGTGATTCCCAACCTTTTTTTTTTTTTACCTGAGACCCCCTTTTCCCTTTGGAAAATATTGAAAGGCCACCCTCCACATTTAAAGATATTATCGCTCATATACGTTTGCAGTAAGGATGACACAAAATGTTGTTTTCAAATAAACGCTTAGTTTATTACTATATTTAAATAGGTTTATGCACAAATAATAGCCTAATGTAAAATATGAAGGCAAAAAATCAGTAGGGCATTTGTTTTCTGTACACCTTGCAGTATTAGGGATGAGTTGGTTGCAAATGTCTTATAAATTTGGACGGCCTCACACATTCGTTAGCAGGACTTTGTCGCAGATGATGCACTGTGGCTGGGCCAGAGACTCTTTGCTTCGAGAAACCATAAAACCATAGTTAAGGTAACTATCTTGGTATTTCCTGCATTTTGTGTTTCCAGTATTGCTAGTGCTGCGACCTGAAATGCTTGGAGCGTCCTCACCTGGGTTCAGTATGCTTGGGTCAATACTATCAGCTGCTGAAGGCGATTGAGTGAGACTCTTTTTTTGTGAAGGATGAATTACAAATTTGTCAATTTTTTGGTCATCAATGGGATAAAATGAACTAAGGCAACATGATCCTTCTCCTAATTGTCCACTGCTAATTTTTTTTTTATTTGACGCGACCCCCCACAGAGCTCGCTGAGGTCCCCTGTTGGGAACCGCTGGAGTGGAAATGATTATTCAAGAATCAAGCAGCATTTCAATTTTGATATGAAGCTAAATATTTTTCTCTATTGTAAGCCAAAACTCTGTTAAGTCATTTAGTTTTGATGCACTTGAGGGTAAGTCAATTTTAAGTTTTATTTTTGGGTGAACTAAACCTTATCATAAAACCAAATGAGTGTAATAAGCACTCCAGTCAAGAAGATCCATTATTGTTTTGGGTTGAAGTTTTTAAAATCCATTCCAATCCTATAATCTTTGTAATAAACAAATGAGTGCATACTAGAAGCATCATCAAATGATTCTAGGAACTGCTACTTATAATAACAGACCCTGTGTTAAAAGACTCCAAATTATGCTAAAAAAAACTATATTTGTGTTGGAGCACTCAGATATTATTAGTTCTTTTGAACTCCTCATTTTGGACCCATGAGGCAAAAATGGACAAAAAGAGATCAAAAGCAGAAGACATTAGAAAAGTGTGCATTATTTATATCACACCGGTCCTGAAGATTTCAGCTGCTGGATATCAGAAGTACAGTCATCATCACAAGAGTCGCTATGGAAACAAACTCGAGAAACAAAGCAGGATCTCAGGCTGAAGTCACTTGAAGGTCACTTGAGTTTAAGGAGGTGCCTTAAAGAAGTAATCTTGCCTTCTGTGGATTGTAGATTTATACTTAGGTTTTGTTTGTACTGAGGTGATGAATTATGACACAAAATAAAACAAATAGCAAAATTAGGAGCATTTCATTGCATATATACAATGGAAATCAGAATTATTAGCCCTCCTGTATATTTTTCCCCCAATTTCCATTTAACGCAGAAAATATTTTTTTAACACATTTCTAAACGTAATAGTTTTAATAACTCATTTCTAATAACTGATTTATTTATCTTTGCCTTGATGATAGTACATAATATTATACTGGATATTTTTCAAGACACTATTCAGCTTAAATTGACATTTAAAATGCTTAACTAGTATAATTAGGCAAGTCACTGTATAACCAACACAATCTCAAGACAATTTGTAACTTTTTGATTTAGTAGCCAATTGGTATGAATTTGTATGATCTCTTTGATACAATTTAGTATGACTTTCTCATCCCCCAATAACAAGTTAGGGGTGTGGTTAGGTCTTGTATAAAATCGTACATTTTCGTACGACTGTATTAATTTGTACGAATTAGCCACTAATCTGACAAAACCTAAAAGACTAACATTTCCTTGTTCAGACTGGTATAACAGTGGTTTGTTCTGTAGACAATCGAAAAAAAAAAGAAAAAGAAAAAAAAAAACGCTAAAGTGGCCTAATAATACTTAAGAAAACCATTTTTAACTGCTTTTATTCTAGCCAAAATAAAACAAGAAGAATAAGACTTTCTCCAGAGCAATAAAAAATTATAGGAAATACTGTGAAAAATGCATTGCTCTGTTTAATATTTGTATTAAATATTAGTTGAAGTCAATAATAATTGTCAATTAAAGTATTTATTATTTGCCACTATCCTTATTTATTATTATTATTATTTTTTTTTAGAAATGATCATTTATTTTCTTTTAAAATACAATAAAATGTTTCCTGATCTCTTCTACTCTTTTGTATGCATTTGGTAAGTATTATTATATAAACACCTTAAAGTAAATGACGGATCGTTTCACCAATATTCTTTTACACACCAATAGATCATAATATTGCTTCACATCAATATTGTTTCATTTTAAATAAATGTACCTGTTAACCTACATTACAAATTAATTTAACTATATTCTGACAATGAATAAAATAAATAAATAAATAAATCTCAATATTTACAGAAATATTAAGTAACACAAGATGTAAACACTGCTAATGATGAGAGTTGCTTAACAAAATTAGCAAACTAGACACTGAAGACTGGCATCATTAAGAAAACTAAGAACAGATATGTTGTTACGACTGAAGTTTATTTATTTGTTTATTATTGCGGATTGTACTCTTTTTCTTTTGTCCCGCCTCCTTGCTTTTTTTCTGTTGTCTTATAGGCTCCCACGCCGGCGTGATTCCCTGCTCTGATTGGCTGCTGGTCTCCGAGACCTGTATATAAGGGAGCTTCCAGCAGGGATCGGAGAGCTCATTTCTGCTGCGTTCGGTGTTTGGAGTGGAGCTCCTGGGTTTCCCTCACCCCTTCGGCCGACGATCAAACACCAACCACCTTTGTATTGATGACCATCCTATGCTTGAATATTTTTTGAGAGTTTGAGCGTTTAGGGGTGACCTGCCTATTTATTTGATTACTTTTGACTTTGTTTATGTTAGGGAGTAAGGTAAGATTCTTGTATTTTTTATTTAAATAGTAATAGGTAATTTAGTGGATTTATTTTATAGATTCTTTTGTTTGTTATTTTGGCCTGTGGTCACCCTAACGAAATGCTTATTTATATAAACCCTATTTTTCTATAATAAATATCTTCATATATACTCTCAATTGAGTGTGTGAGTTTGGTTGTCGACCAAAGGGAATCTTTTGCTTTAAGTTTTGTTTAGTTTGGGAAATCCACCACCCCAACACATTTGTTTTTTCTTCGTTTATTATGCCCTTTTTGTTTCCCCTAGACTTGGGGCGTAATATATGTAAAATTGCATGAATCATTTACAATATTATTGTTTTACTGTATTTTCAAACAAACAAATCCTGCCTTTACCAAGCATAATAGATTTAAAAAGACAAAAACCTTTTTGAAAAATCTCACAGACTGGACATTTTTGAACAGGACTGTATTGTATATTTACATATGAAAAAACCTTATTGTTCCAGTCAAAGCATAATAAAATACTCCAAACGCAAGATAAACCTTATTAGCATCGATAAACATATGCATAACAGAAGAAATATTGACTTCTAGAAGGTTAAAGAGCTCATTTAAATATGCTTGTTCACCATCTGACCTCTGGTTGTCTAGATTACAGCCCGAGTGCCAGGAGGTGGAGGAGGGAGGAGGCTTGATTCGCTCATGGTCATCCTGCATCTGAAGCCTGATTGGTCGACGCAAACCCCATGAGATATTAAGAAGTCCTTCCATGATCAGCTCCTCCTCTTCCTGCAGGCAAAAAACACAGTATAAAGATAACTTATATCAAGTTATGTTGTCTGTGTTTTACTTATTATACTCCAGGGCTATTCAATTAGTTTGTCATGGGGGCCGGTTCATGAAAAGCATCCCAAACGAAGGGCCGGAGAGATATGACTTGCTATATGAGTGATAACACAACTGCATATAAGAGCCCATATGCTGTATTTTTACACCTACAGGTACGTTGGCTTTTTCTACATTAAAATGTGAATATATTGTATTTTGAAACTACATAATGAGTGCATTGTACAATAGGCTTTTTTTTTTTTACAAACATTCAAATGTTGTATTTCAGAGCACAACAAAAGCAGTGCATTGCTGAAGTAGGCTTTTTCTACATTCAGACACATTCATATGTTGTTTTTTGAACTGCGTAACAATTAGGGATGCGACAGTAATAGATCTTGGTTGTACGATTATATAGTGTGAAGAATAATCATGGTTTCACTGTTATCACGTCTAATGTAAATTCAAGCATTATATGAGGAAAGTAGCTATTTAGATTAACTGTAGATGCCATCTGCGTTCATGCATACAAAATCATTTTAATAATAAATCGTTTAACATATCTTTTGTTTACATTGCACTGAAAGGCACGCACAACTCTCAACGTGAGATATTTTCTACTGTGTGCGCCCGGAGAGCCGCAAGCGCGTTGCTCCGCTTGTGTGAGCATATTGTCATATATTCTTATATTAGAAATAACAAACTTGCAAGCGGAAAAGACGTGATATGGGAATGGCCGCTAGCTATAGTTAATCTGGTGTGCGTGCGTAGCCTCGGTGTACATACTTAGAACTTCAAACTATCGCACAGTTGGCAACTTGGCATAACTTTGTTTATTTGCAGCAGTTTCGTTTTGTTCAGTGCAACAGAAATGCGGCTTAGAGAAGCCTTTACAATTAATTAACTGTGACAAATTAAAGCGCAGTTAATAGGGAAATCGGCTAATTGTTGCATCCCTATTGACGATATCAATGCATAGTATAAAAGGCTTTTTCTACAAACACATCCAAATGTTTTCGGCTGCCCGCACGACTCGCTTATGGTGAATCACGCTCTGCGCAGCCTCTGCAGCTCATGCTGTATTGAACAGACACACATCACTTCATAACTATTTATGAAGTGAATTTTTTATTTATTTTTGATGTCTTGGTCACACTATTTGGAGGGCCGGAACAAATTGCCTTGGTGGCCGGGTTCGGCCAATCGAATAGCCCTGTTAAACTCCTTAATTTAGATTCTTATTGATTTTTCTTGTTTTGTTAAGGTCACGGGTGGTTGTATGAGCATTTCAGTGCATTATGTGTATAGTGTTTATGACTGTTTATGTGACAAATATGATTTAAATTTGATTACTATTTTGTGCTCATACTTATATTTATGTATTTGGCAGACACTTTTATGCGAACTTAGCATAATATTTAATTAGGCACATATTTATTGACACTGCAAAAAATGCAGGGTTCCACACAATTCCTTCATGTTGTCCCAACACAAATCAATTACGTTAACCTCATTGTTTTTACAAATTTAAGTTGTCCCACGCAAAACTTAAGAATTGAGTTACATTAAAAAGTAGCTTGAACAAGAAGCAAACGTAACTTTTGGAGTGTAGTTCTTAGATCATTTGGAGAATTAATCCTATAAATGTGGAATTACTAGTGTCATTCTCTACTATTTGATCTTTGCTCTCCAGATGAGAAGTGACAATATTCAAAATTTTCCTACGCCCCATGAAGCTTTGTGTGAGTTATCAATACCAGAAATAATAAAATAATAAAAAAAAAATGATTACAAGGAGATGGCATTATTCTTCTCACATTTTATCTATCAAATATTAAAGGTCCCATGATGAATTAGATGTTAGTTTCAGTCTGTTAGTTTCAAAGAAATCTTTTAGCTAGAGCTACAAAACTGAGACAAAATTTTCGTTTAGAAAATATAAAACATTAAAAGCTTGTTGTTTTTCACTTCCGCCTAAATGGTTTGACAGATTTTCACGTCACCTCATACTTCTCTCCTCAAATCTTAACCAATTCAATTCAGTATCCGACATGTCCTGCTCCCTTTTCATTTGATTTCCATTCGATGTGCTTGAGCTCAACCACTCTCACTAAAAGAGCTTTGATAAAAACGAAATGCTATTGGCTGTTTTTTTAAAGTAAGGAGTTACTCTATGCCCCAACCTATCTTCATTTTCCAGTTAAGATTTTCTGCAGGTTAGGACTTTTTTAAGACCGTTAGGGCCAGATAAGAGCTAAATGCCAATGATTTTTTTGAATATCCTAGTTTGAAAAGATTTTTATTAGCCCTATCAAAAATTATTAAAAGTTAATACATTTAATAACACAATATTAATAATTTAGTTTAAATATTTTAAAATTAATTTTCTAATATATCCATTCACAAATCCTATAACCCTAACCAAGAACAGAACAAAACATAGCTGTAAATTACTTCAGTCTACAATAATAATAATTTAATAATAAAAAAATATAGGTTAGGGCAGTATCCTCAGCAGTAAATAAATGCAGAACTTTTAAGCAAATATTACTGTAAAGAAAGTAATTAAATGCTTTTTTTTTTTTTAATAAAAAGTTTTATTGAGATTGAGTTTGTTGGTGATTGTATGGGTATTAATGGCTAGATTGGGTAGCTATACATGAACAAAGAAAAATTAAGACCTGTTAAAAAAAAAAGATTTAAGAAACTTTTTAGGACACCGAGTATACTCCGATTATGTCAAACGTTGAATAAAAATCCACATTTCAAAGCACTTCATGGGACCTTTAAAAGAAAACTTAACAGAATACATAAATTGCATACAGCAGACAATGAATTACCCTGGAAATAAGTGAAATATTATGAAATAAACAAGAAATATTAGCAATATGGTGAAGTATTACTGTATTGTAAGAGAAAAACTATATTGAGGACCCACACATGAACTCAAAAGTGCCTCGTTTGTTTGTGATATTAATGTCATGTTAAAAAACCAAGCGCAAATTTTACAGCACAGCCTTAATTATATGAAGTGATTTCTTTTTAATGGAAGTTCCCTAAACAAGAAGTGCAGCCCATAACTTGGAAATTTAGCAATCACGTGTGGAAAAAGGTGGATAAACAAGCTATAATTTTTCTTTTATGAGACCAATGAATGGTAAATACAGCCCATCTAAAACAGTCATTAATTTGGCTTGTCTAAAGCACCTGAGCAATGCATTTACAGACACAAAAGGAGACGCACATGGTCAACCCCCTCCAGCCTCAGACAGTTATTATTACTCCCCAGACAATAGTGAATAATTGAGGAAGCACAGAAGGGGTCAAACGCTTCTCCGCCTGCCGCACAACGAGGGTAAAGCTGGTTCTTACCTCTCGGTGTCGTAGCTGCAGGTTCTTTCCTTCATAGTACAGATTGTAGGTCTTTAAATGAGAGAGAATGCTGCTCCTGAGAAACAACAAAACATCTTACATTTGGAAAGTAATACTTAAACACAGTATGAAATTTCTGCCACTAGAGGGTCGTATTCACAACAAACAAATGCTTATTTTGATGATGCCGTGACTGAGTGTAGAATCATAGGAGTTGTCATCTTCATTACATACTATAAGGGACTCCTGCAAAAATCATGTTCAATGATGAGCTAAAGTGATCAAAGCTTGGGGATCTGTTATAATACTGCTCTGTGATCTTTAATAAAACACACCACATTTAAAAAAAAATCTTTGGTGTTTCACTGTTTTCTATAAAACCAAACCAGAAATTGAGGTTGTATGATGTCATAATCATGGTGACACAGGACACGGTCCATGCCAATTGCTAAAATTGCTCTGGATTTGAAACATTAACTGGTTGAATTATTCATTTTTGGATGAAGGGTTGTGGTGTTATCGATGGTAAAAGTAAGGTTTAGTAGTTAGGGAAAGGTAAGACATATAATTGTTAGCGGATTAATTTACAGAGCAAGTTCATGTTTACACTACAGTGTTTCCCCTACCAGGCGACGCAGTGGCACAGTGGGTAGCACGTTCGTCTCACAGCAACATGCGTGGGTTTCCTCCGGGTACTACGGTTTCCCCCACAGTCCAAAGACACACCCCGCCCTCCTTATATACGGCTGTACCCACCCTCCTTGAAGTCACATTTATAGATATTATCTATATAGCGCCGGATCACAACATTTTTTAGTAAACCAGCTGAATAGCCGTATGAAATATCTTATTTACACAACAGCATGTCATTTCTGTTCTGCGCTTGCGTCACTGCAGCTAAAATATATACAGATGCACACATCCCAAGTCTCTCGAAAGTTCCAAGAGTCACCCGCAAATGCATAGAGATGCCGGATGCCGGATGCCTACAAACGAATGATAATCTTCCGGAAATCGCGCGTCTTCCACCCGTCTCCCGCCCGGTCCTCAAATACGTCCCGCTTCCCTCCTCGCTCTTCAGATACATCGCGCGGAGCAAAGCTCCTCTATCTAGTGTCTAGTTATGACCTCTTCCGGAAGCTCTGTGTGATCCCCCAAAATGAATTAAAATACCCGGAAAACATGCCGTTGAGAGTGAATGAGCAAGTGAATAGATCGCGAGAGGAACAGTGATGGTCTAAACATTACATTTGATAGCTTAAATGAATAGAGCAGTAAAGATATCGCAATTGCAAATTCCACCCTCTCTCTCATTGAGGGATCTGCTGTCAGTAGTTGGAGAAGAGCAAAATATTGGAATGGTGCTACATGTATTTAGCTCTTTTTCACGTATAACAACTAAAAGTTCTGTGTTTTGACAATATTACAAATTCACTAAAAGCTGGCTGGAATTATTAGATAAAACTTTTTGAACATGAATTTTTAATAATATAATGTTTTGTAACACACTCATTGATACTTGAAGTAGTTATTGGCCCTATTTCCCTTTAGTTAACAAGTATTAGATAGCATTTTAACTAATTTTCATCTTTCATCCTTTGCAATGCTTCCAAATTGCATTGTTTGTCATTTTTCTGCTTTGGTGACCCCTGATAAATAAGGCGCTAAGCTCAGTAAAATGAATGGATTAATTATTTTCTGTAAAGCTACTTGTGGCCATGACATGTTCACATCTACATTTTTATAAGAGACATGTTTAATAGATGCCTCAATAAATGGGTCAGACATTTCTGACTTTCCATACAAAGAGGCTCAGGAAATGTTCTTTCAGAAGCCCATAAAGAGATATTGCAGTGACACAAGCTGCACAGTTTGTCAATAAAAAAGATATAAAATAAATGTTAATTTATAATTAACAAATGGTTGAACAGTTCAAATAGTTGCTTAGTTATTTACTGCTGTCATTAAAAGACCATGACTCCTTATATGTTTTATGCCTGGTGTTCACACTACTCCAAAACAGAAAGCAGAAAGAAAACAGAGCATTTCGAAAACACTGAGATGCTCTTCACTCTGGTGTATTTTTGTGATAAAACATAGATGGTTTGTTGCGATTGATGCCTGGCATCTACACTACTCTGGCATCTTTAACCAATGAAAATAGAGCGTTTTTAGTTTGAAAATGCTGAAGTTCTGTACGGAAGAAACCAGTCGCAAACTTATGAGAACTGAAACATGGCTATCCACAATTACTCTTAGATTGGTCTTCTGGACCATTGCGTTCCCTGATTCAACAGGCCCTTTTCATATGACCATTTCACAACCAGTATACAGCAAGTATGAACACCATTAAAGTATGCACATACTCAGTGAGCATGAATAATTAATTCATTCATTTACTTGTCGGCTTAGTCCCTTTATTAATCCAGGGTCGCCACAGCGGAATGAACCGCCAACTTATCCAGCAAGTTTTTACGCAGCGGATGCCCTCCCAGCCACAACCCATCTCTGGGAAACATCCACAAACACATTCACAGACACACTCATACACTACGGACAATTTAGCCTACCCAATTCACCTGTACCACATGTCTTTGGACTGTGGGGGAAACCGGAGCACCTGGAGGAAACCCACGCGAAGGCAGGGAGAACACGCAAACTCCACACAGAAACGCCAACTGAGACGAGGTTCGAACCAGCGACTCAGTGACCTTCTTGCTGTTTGGCAACAGCACTACCTACTGCGCCACTGCCTCGCCAGCATGAATAATCACATTTACAACCTCATGAAAACATCAAGCGTTTTACTCTGTACAGTGTGTTTGTTTTTCTAAAACACAGTTAAAATGCCAATTTGGATGAGGATTGTTTACATTCTAGCTGCTGTTTTAAATAAAAACACACTACAAAGTGTGAACACAGCCTAAATTTAGGGTTTGCCTCATTTATTATAGCTGCCTGTCGCTCTGGGTGATGATTGAAGTCAATAGTGGGCGTTCCCACCTTGCTTAGGTAAAATTTATGGTGTTATTTGCAAAAAGTGAATGGATTTACGTGACGCTGAAAGTAAACATTGTTGAGAAAAAACACAAAATATAAATGGAATTAGTACATAAAATGCCTAATTACAAAGATAATCAAGAAAACAGTTTGTTCTAGGTCATTTTGGCTATTTATCTCCTGCAAATGTGAGTCTACAGCACAGACAGGGCTCAACAATAAGGACTGCCCGGTGGCCCGGGGCCAGCTTTCGAGGCGCTCTGGACAGTAGACAGAATTGTTACTGGCCCGATTCATAGTGCCTTGTCACAAAAGTTCAATTTGTCTGTGACTATTTGTCAATTGCATATGAATACAGTCTTAGAATCGAGAAACAGTTTGTGCTTTTAAGCCTTTAAATGCTGCCTTCTCAGTGATGTTGTAAACACCATATTGCTTTCTGGTTCCTTCTATCTGATTGGATGTAGTGAGCATGTCCTTTTTTTGTAACCTGGTAAAAACCAGTACAGCGAAATGAATTTATGAGGCTAAAAGAATGTCCTGGAAGCAAACATTTACGTGGGTACAATGCGAAGATATGCTCATACATTTTTTAACATTTTAAAAATATTAAATTCTAGATTCAAACACATTTTTGACACAATATTAAAAACATGTGGCTAAGAAATAGCTATTAACTTAACTTTTTTTTTGGTGGGGCCAGTGAAAATATTGGCCGGGCAAGTAAAAATCTGAACCGCTGGCCCAATCGGGCCAGTAGAAAAAATCCTTAGCGTTGAACCCTGACAGAGAATACAACTAGCCTCTGCAGGAGCTGAGAGAAGAACACGTGAGTTCTACTGATGCCCCTATTGGTTTTCGCTCAAGAAAGTTGTTCTTTATTTGCATAAAGTTGAAGCATTCTCAAATTTGTCGTGTCGTTCAGCAGCGGTCGCTATTGCTCGCGTAAACAGAGGTCGCCGGAAGTCGCTCGCTCTTCGTTGAAATGAACGGTCGCTTTGCCGCTGCGAGTCGCTCATAGTGTGAATGCAGCTTTAGAGTTCCAGGAGTTAAAGTAGGATTTAGTAGCAAGACTAAAGTTAGGTTTATAAAGGGAGGTTTATGAGGAAGTGTTGAGATTGTTTTACAGTAGGGTTTGAATATTGGGGTTAAGTGTAGGCTTAGTAGTAACGGTAGGGTTAAAGTTATGTTATTAATATTAGGTTTTAGGCTAGTTTTAGAACAATATGTGGGATGGTTTGTTTTAGGCTATCATCTTAATGTTGGGTTTAGTATTAAACTATGACTAATGAGAGTAAAATGTAGCTTTAGTGTTTGGGTTAGGGTTGATTTTAGTAGTGAAGGTTTGATATGCAGCACAGTTACTCACTTGCTGATGAATTTGTTTTCTCCAACCCGCACACCGTCAATCCTGTCATCCATTTTATCCCAGCCACGACTGCATGGAAAAGCTCTGGAGAGACAGAGACAAAGGAACAGAGAGAAATTGTTTCTGTTTCTTCTTTTAACATCAAAGAATTAACTCGAACATTATCTAGGTCAGAGGAAAAAAAGAGACGGTAAGAGAATTACATACTCTAAAAACAAACAATGTATTCATATCTCACAATCCTCACTAGCTCAGTTTTTTTTATATATATATAATACTTTCTTGACAAGAAACTGAAGCTCTGTTCTGTATCACACAAAGCCATGTGCAGCGACATCTGCAAGTCACAGCTGAAAGTGAACAAGTCATGAGGATGTGACCAGAATAGATATTGAGCATATTCTGGAATGAATGAGGGGATTCAATGTGTTTAAAAGACCCCATTAATTCCAAGCTGAAGTTTTGCATTTTGTGTTCATAGCTTTCAAATGTTTGGGGTCAGTATGTTTTTCTTATTCCAATCAGTTTTATTGCAAGACAATTCAATAAAAAAGAAATTCAATAATTAAATTGATAAAAAAATGACACATATACAGTGCATACTAACTTTGTATCTTTTAATTATTTATTTATTTAGTGATCATACTAAAATCCAGGTAAAGAATAGTTTAAATCTAATTAAACCGAACTTGGACAACAACCACAAAAAAAAAAAAAAAAAAAAGGAATTAGTGATTGTGATAGTGATTAGTGACTAAAACTCTAGGCAGATATTGTAAGCCAGTAGGAATAAACATATTAAGACCTCATCTGAGTAGACAAATTTGAATAACCAACCTATACATGCAACACAAATGCTTGGCACAATGAATGTAACTTATCACACCTCTCCGATACATGTATCACTTATACTAAAGTAAAGAACTTTTATTGTCATTGTAGTTGTACAACGAAATTTGTTTGGTAACTCACAGAGACCAGCAGCAACATAAAAAGAGAGAAAAACAAACAATAGACATAATACTAAAATATAAGAGGCAAGATAAAGTATACTAAATGTAATAAGTCACACATAAAGAAAACCAACAATAGACATAATACTAAAAATATAAGATGTAAGATAAAATATACTAAATGTAATAGTCACAGTATTTACATTATGGCAAATGAGTGCAAACATGATTTTGAGTGCATACTAATTGAGAAAATGAGTGCATACTAATTTCATCTGCATACAAATACATCTGATTACACTAAACTTTTGAACAGCACTCCATGCAAATTGTCATTTATGTGCCCAATTTGTTCCAATCATATAATCCCAAAAATGTAAACATTAACTTCTCAAAAGAGTCTCTAAAGTTGATCAAACTAGACATTGGAAATTTAGCACACTGTTAAAGGTTGGTTTGTCATAAGGCTGATCAATACATTTACATTTTTAATAATGCCACTGACTGAAATATAATCAGCGCTGTAGGATAATACAGTATTGTCCCTTGTGGGTCATTATAGATGAAACTAGAGAAACCCGAGATTAAAATGAAATGCAAGATGTTATAAAAACAGCCAAGAAAGCAATAATCCTGAGGATAATATTGTTTTAATCATTTTACTGTACTTTGGAAGAAGCTTTTAATATCATGTCATGCATCTATATCCACCAGTTTCCTATCAACACTGTCATGTTTAACCCAAGAAAATGGAGTGTTTGGAAAATGCTGAAGACCGTTTTAGTTTAGAAATGCTGAAGTTCTTGTTAGTACATAAGAAATGAGTCACAGACTTATGAAAACAGAAACAATATGCACATTCACTCGCTGATTTGACCAGTTTTGCAACCAGTATACAGCAAGTATGCTGGCAAAGTATTCGAATACCCATGTGAACATGAATTATCACATATATGTTTTACTCTGTATAGTGTGATTGTATCTCTGAAACACAGTTAAAATGCTAATTTGGACAAGGATTGTTTACATTCTGAGCTGCTGTTTTAAATTAAAAAAACATACTAGTGATCACCTAAATGTAGGGTTTAACTTAGAGTTACAGGAGTTAAAGTTGGGCTTAGTAACAAGTCTAAAGTTAGGTTTAGAAAGGTTAAAGGTACAATTTTAAAACAAATCCATTATTTTAAGTTTTTTTTAAACATAAAATAACGGCCGTTAAATTACAGAAATTTACTGTAAAATTCATTCATTTTCTTTTCGGCTTATTCCCTTTATTAATCCATGGTCGCCACAGAGGAATGAACCACCAACTTATCCAGCAGGTTTTTTACGCAGTGGATGACTTTCCAGCCGCAACCCATCTCAGGGAAAATGAAAATAACGGCCATTAAATGACAGAATATTACTGTAAAATAACGGAAGTTAAATGACAGAAATTTACTGTAAAATAATGGACGTTAAATGATAGAAATTTACTGTAAAATAACAGCTGTTGAATGATAGAAATTTACTGTAAAATAACAGCTGTTGAATGATAGAAATTTACTGTAAAATAACAGCTGTTGAATGATAGAAATTTACTGTAAAATAACAGCTGTTGAATGATAGAAATTTACTATAAAATAACGGACGTTAAATGACAGGAATTTCCTAAATTATTATTTCTGTAATTTAACGTCTGTTATTTTACGATAAATTTCTGTCATTTAACGTGCGAAATTTTACACTTTCGCACCCCAGTATCCGGAAAAAAAACTTAAAAATAAGGGATTTTTTGTGTTGGTTTACCAGAAAAATGTTAGTTTACAGTAAGGTTTGGTTATTAGGATTAACTGTAAGGTTAGTAGCAAAGGTAGGTTTAAAGTTTTCTACAAAATTCACAAAAAAGCCAATGCTGTTGCTGATACAATGATAAATGCACTGTAGAACAAAGATTACTGGAGTATGTTTTACAATAAGAAACTACTTAACTGTTTCCTCTTGAAAATTCCAGGTTTAATTTGATGTATTACTTTCAACAATTGTGACATTTTCTATCAAATAAATCTTTTTTTTTATTTATTAAAGACCTCAATAATAGATTATACACAGCTGAAGTAAAAATTATTAGCCCTCGTGATTTTTTTATTTTTTTATTTCCCAAATGATGTTTAACAGAGCAATGAACATTTCACAGTATTTCCTATAATATTTTTTTCTTCTGGAGAAAATTTTATTCGCTTTACTTCAGCTAGAATAAAAGCAGCTTAAAACCATTTTAAGTTTAATATTAATAGCCCACATATGCAATATAAATTTTTGTAATGTCTATAGAACAAACCATCGTTATACAATTATTCGCCTAATTACTCTAACGTGCCTAATTAACCTAGTTATGCCTTTAAATGTCAGTTTAAGCTGAATCGTGTCTTAAAAAATATCTAGTAAAATGTTATGTACTGTCATCAGGAGAAAATGAAAAAAAATCAGTAATTACAAATCTAAGAAATGTGTTGTACATGTTTAGAAATGTGTTGAAAAATCTTCTTTCTGTTTAACAGAAATATACAGGGGGGGCTAATAATTCAAGAGAGCTGATAATTCTGATTTCAACTGCATATTGTATTAACACAGTATTATTCAATCTAAATCTGTCTTGATGGAGTGAATTATTCAGATGAAAGCCTTTATGTTTGTAAACTTTCTGCTTAAAGATGAAAGAGAATAGTCGACTACGTCTTTTCCCAGCTCAATGGCTGACAAATATACTCATGTCTGGAGGTTCCCCTGGCACAATACACTCAAGGCTTCCTTCCTCACCAGCTGGAAAGGCTTTATAGAAGCTTCCGGAGAGGAGGACAGGTGCAGGACAACAGGAGTACTGTTACCCCGCTGTTACACACCACTCAACAACTACAGCAACAATTCGCTCTTAAAGCTCTTTCACTAGATCATTTTAAAAACCAGCAAGTCATGCCAATAAAACAAAAACAAATAATTGGTGTCAAAACTTAACTTTAGTATAAGATGTTTTTGTTTTTCACAGAACTGTGCTGGTAATATATTTATTATTATGATTATTATTATTACTTTAAATATTGATTTATTTACTTTTTGCCTTTATTATGATTGGAGAGTATATAAATAGCTAAGCAGAGAAAGAGAGAAGGGGGAATCAGGAAAGATCTACAAGCTGGGACTCGAACTCAGGACGCCCAAAGTGCAATGGTGCTATATGTCCGCACATTGTCAATTACGCAGTCGATGCTGACATTTGTTTGTTACTTTTAATGCATGATTCACTCTCCTGCAGAATTATCCCATTCATTTTTAATTCATGAATTCTTGTCAAAATATTCTTGTCGAAATCAAAACCCATTACCGAAAACTTTAAATTAAAAAACGTAAAAAAATGAATCAAATACTAATTCATGGAATCCACAACTGCTAAAACTTCTTCGATATCTCTATTTCAAGTTCAAAAACCTCCCAGGTATCACAAAATTCAGAGGATTTTCAAGAGCCAAACATGCTATTAAGTTTCTCAAACAGAGTCCAGTGGAGGGGCGATTAACCTTTTTCTAACACATAGCAATGTAACGTCTTGCTTGTATTTAACCTAAACCAATCCGTTTTCTTTCTTTAGTAGACAAAGAACAACTGTCCACCTGAGAAATACGAATGCATTTGTAACTCTCCAATTCACCAGCATCATGTCAACAGTAGAACTAATTCAAATTACACCGTGATGACACCATGTTTGTGATAATATGTAAGACTATTAGACTATAAGCAAATGGCCATGAATGAAAGTCTAATTCCCTTTCGTTCCATAACACTGGCATTACAGTATATTTATAAGCATTCTCTACTATATTACTTTATAACATTTTCATTTCATGAGTCACAGAACATAAAAGAGGCTGTCAGAAGCATCTATAAACATCAGATCCTTTTGATTATCCAGACAAAAACCTCCCCAACTCCTTTACATAAACATCAGTCAAAACCGGCTTTTCATAGGTCTCATTTTTTAAGCTGTTTAGTTCACAAGCTGACTAAAACAGGATAATTCTTTCATATCAACCTCTTTAAAAAAAAGACAGCACTCTTGCATTTATTCTTCCGCATAAACTAGCACATATTCAACCT